TGACTTACACTTTTCTCCTTAGCATCCTGATGCATCAGAAAAGCTGACCTGCACTAAAGATGCTTACTCTTTTTAAACCTGACACTAAAACACGTATTTACTGCAAAAGTGATATTTAATATTTGGGTTTTAATATAAAAATAGACTTTATTTCAAGTGAGGCTAAAGCAAAATACTTTCAAAAAAGTAGACTAGTCATTGTTTAACATTCTATTACCAATACACATCTGACAAGATGACACTTCGATGCTAAGTTAACACAGTTCTCCTCTGCAGTATCAAACAAAAATCATGCAAAGAAAATGCTAATTAAGATGTTATAAGCAGTTGATAATCAAAGTAACCTTTCCCTGACCCACATTAGGATAAGAAAACCCAGCAACAGAAGGCACTTAGGCTAGAGTCTGACCCATTTTCTCTCTAAAGCTGTAGAAGCAGCTGTAGAAGCTAAGAGGTGAAGAAGAAATTTAGCACTAAAGCAAACTAAGGTTGTAACTTAATTCAACACCTTTCCATTGACAAAAAAATTGCTCTCAAGAAGGTTCTGAGTGTTGCCAGTAATTTAAAAACTGTGAATCTTGCAGTAATCACACCAAATTTAAAGTGAACCGAAGAGTTCAGGAGTTCAAGAAACAGGGTCTTTTAAAAGTTCGTAACTCAGCTGCTTTTTCTTTTCTGAATTTTAATTTAAGCACAATAGTATCACAGTAAGATAATCCTGTGTGCAATGTAAACATTTACTATACTCTGGCAGAAACCAGTCCTTAACTTTAAGTTATTCACATGTTTTATAAATTCCCAGATCCGGCTTTCTTACTAATACATATGCATGATCCATACAGCTGTATTCACAATGCCCTGACTAGCAGCATGCAAACTGACAAAGGATATTACAGAAGCAGGATAATAAAGCACAAGTTATTCTTACTACCCTTCCCCCACCATGCACTTTACCCTTTGTGTTCTTTTATACTTACCATGCCCTCAAAGCCAACTCTGTAAAGGTTTTTAGCACCATTGTCCCAAAGAACATATGCTGCGCTATGTGGACTCGATGCACTCCAATCTTGGATTTCAGTTACCTATTCAGATTTAAAAATAAGAAAATGGTTTCCAGAACAAAGATTGAGAAGCACAATTTGAACTTAAAACCCATTCATCGCTTCAGAATAATTCAGGATACAGCAGTTTTACTGAATTTAATAAAACTTATTCTGAAGCTGTTTTCTGTTTGATACAAGTGTTCCCTAAGTGTCTTAAGAAGATGGCAGCCTAAATATATACTTTGTAGGCCTATTTTTATTTTGTATGTTTGGCAGGTAACCTAACTACATAAGTAGAGAACAAGATCTGAACTGTAAAAACTTATTTTATAATGCTTTGACACGTTCTTACGAGAAGCAGCATTTAACCAAGAAAAACAGGATGAAAACTATTTTAATTGCTTCAATTCGTCTCTTTTAACCTGCATTAGCCTGGTGGTAATGGACTATATTAGAAGACAAAATTCTATTTACAGAGCCTGTCTGTTTAACAGTAGAAAAGAAGGAGAGTGAAAAGGACTTTCCTTGACGTTTCTAAAATAACAAGGCCATGCACCAAGTTCTGAAAATTCTTCCATTATTAAAAAAAATGTTTCCAGAATTTGTCTTCATTCTTATTTGTATTTATTTAAAAGCTGTTTCTGCTATCTTCTATCTGCTTTTCCTCATTAAAAACATTCAGTGCATTTATAGATATTCTCAGCTTGCAAATAACCCCCCTAATTCAAATTTAGTACATAAAGTAGACAATGCAGGACAAGACTAATTTTGCAAAGTTTCAGAGATTTCAAAATGTCTTGCCAAATTCATAGCAAGGAGCAAATAATCAAGATGAAAAAAGCTGCATCTGAAAAGCCCTTGCTTTAGGAGATTTAAATTTATTGTTTCCTCTCAATAAAACCCAAAATGAAATCCCCAAAACTCCTAAAGCTTCCCTAAATATCTAGAATATGAAATAGGCTAAATACCTTACTCAGGAACTTTTCACTTTCTTTTAAATGCTGCTTAAATGTACTAAAAACAAATGCAACAAGAACCACCAGTTGACCAAGATATGAGGGCATCATATTCTCCTTCTAGAACATCTCGTATTTGCCAATAAAAGTCATAGTGTATTTTACACTCCCTGCTGTATGTTCATACTTATAACAAACCTTTATCAGTTCTCAAGGTAAATGTAAGTTGTAAACAGAAAATTTGCAGAGGTTATGATTAGCGACATATAATTCAATGCAATTTGCAATAAATCTAAGCATTTTTACTATACAACTGTATCAAGACCACTCATATAATATACCGTCCTAAGCCAGTAATATCCACATCTAACACTTGCAAAATTTTTGGTTTTAAACTGGAAAAGTCCCTGAAATTATGAGATGAAAAAACAAAAACCCAGGATGTAAGCACTGAAAACCAAGAGCAAGAGATACACAAATGTGCTGACCCACAAGCAGTAAGACTACAGAATGTAGTGATGACCCAAAAGGGCTATTCTTGAAAGCTCTGTTTTTATACCAGCTCACTAGTAATGCTGAAATATGCCCAAGATCTTAATGTTGTTACAAACAGCCTAAAACAGAACAATGCAGAAAAAAAAAATTGGTAGTTTTCAAAATTTTGTGCTGGTATCATAAAAAACTAAATTTAAATTATTATAAATTTTAAATTTAATTTTAATAAAAATTAAATTTAAAAGAACTCATCACAGTATACATCCCCTCCTCTTTCTAAATGCTTGAGCATTACAGAATAAGATTTTAAAATGTCCAGCAAATTAAAATAGTAACTTTTACGATCATATTTTTATTCTACAATAATGGCCACTGAGGCCATTACATGAACATGCAGAAACGCATCTTATTTAAACCAGTTTTATTTTTACCTTTCCTCTACGTCCATTGCCACCATCTTGATCTTCCCATTGCCAGTCAACTCCTCGCACAACCCTGGCACCTGCAAAGATTCCTCTTGCTGTAATTTTCTTTGATTTACGGCGAGACTCCAACAACACCCTGAAGTTATTAAAAGAAGAACCCACAAATGTCAAGATAATAAAGGAAGCCTGAAACAAATCTTTGGGATAAGAAGGAGAGCATCTTGAAACAAAAATAACCCCACAAATGCAGATTTCAGTGCATGAATCACATCATAGAATCATAGAATAGTTTGGGTTGGAAGGGACCTTGATCATCATCTAGTTCCAACCCCCTGCCACGGGCAGGGACACCTTCCACCAGACCAGGTTGCTCCCAGCCCCATCCAGCCTGGCCTTGAGCACTGCCAGGGAGGGGGCAGCCACAGCTGCTCTGGGCAACCTGTGCCAGGGCCTCACCCCCCTCAGAGTAAAGAGTTTCTTCCTAATATCTGACCTAAATCTCCCCTCTTTCAGTTTGAAACCGTTACCCCTCATCCTATCACCACCCTCCCTGATCAAGAGTCCCTCCCACCTCTCCTGCAGCCCCTTTCAGCACTGAAGGCCGCTCTAAGGTCTCCCTGGAGCCTTCTCTTCTCCAGGCTGAAGACCCCCAACTCTCAGCCTGTCCTCACAGGGAGCTGCTCCAGCCCCTCAGCATCTTCATGGCCTCTTCTAGACCCGCTCAAGCAGGTCCGTGTCTGTCTTGTGCTGGTGCCCCCAGAGCTGGACGCAGCCCTGCAGGGGGGTCTCACCAGAGCAGAGCAGAGGGGCAGAATCCCCTCCCTCGACCTGCTGCCCACGCTGCTGGTGCTGCAGCCCAGGATACGGCTGGCTTTCTGGGCTGTGAGCTCACCTTGCTGGGTCATGTTCCATTTTCTATCTACCAGCACCCCCAGGTCCTTCTCCCCAGGGCTGCTCTCAGTCCACTCACCCCCAGCCTGTATCTGTGCTTGGGATTGCCCCGACCCAGGTGCAGGACCTTGCACTTGGCCTTGTTGAACTCCATGAGGTTTGCACAGGCCCACCTCTCCAGCCTGTCCAGGTCCCTCTGGATGGCCTCCCTTCCCTCCAGCATGCCGACTGCACCACACAGCTTGGTGTCATCAGCAAACTTGCCGAGGGTGCACTTGATGCCACTGTCCATGTCACCAAAGATGTTAAACAGCACTGGTCCCAATACCGACCTCTGGGGAACGCCACTGTTCACTGGTCTCCACATCGAGCCATTGACGATGACTCTTTGGGTGCAACCATCTAGCCAATTCCAGCCAACAAGATAAAAAAATCCATGATCTTCCTAAATCTGATTTTATTGTATGTTTATAATTAGTTTTTAGTTCTAATGATAATTTCTTCTCCAAACCTCCTACTACCAGCAATAATCTTGTAACAACTTACACATAGATCTATAGTCATGTTATTAGAATCATTAAAGACGCACAGTCATATAAACAACACATTTCTCTTTCTCTTAGATGCACACAAGGCCAATATTGCTGTCCCACAATTGCCATGCTATTTTTATTCAGAATCATTCTATTAAGAGCTACATCTCTTTCCCCTCCATGTCTCAGTTTATTTTCTACATACTTCTCATAGCATATCTTGGCAAATTTAATTTATCAGCATCCATTTTTTCCGTCATATGTTACTTTCCTAAAGCAAACCTCTTCTTTCCCGACTTCAACAGAACTGAAGTAGATAAGCCCAAACAGAACAGTTCATGAGGACTGAACTTACAAATAGAAACAAAGAGACAAACATTTTCCTGCCTTTTCAGTCATCTCAAAAGCCACCAGTCTGCATGCAACCAGATTTCTTACTTCATGCCAGGAAAATGTTGCCAGACATAAGCATTTTTCAGCTGAAATTCTGAATGTTTCCTGACCTCTGCAAGAAGTGTATCACCCTCCTGCTG